TAAACATGACAACACAACTTAACAAACCTAATACGTGATGAATAAATACCAAACCCCAAAACATAGAAAACCCAGGAACAATAACCAATAACTGCCTAAACTAAAGGCAAAATAGGAAATAACACAAAAACTAATAACATATCAAAAAATACAAAGAAAAACTCAGAGTGCTGGGTCGGAGACCCAGCCTGTGACACTGTGTGATCTTAGATTATACCAGTATGTGGCTAAATCAGCTAACTGTGCTACGAATACAATCCCAGCGAGTGGTCACCACCTCTGCTACATCCTTCAGGCTTCCTTGACCAGCATGTGTGTCTTAAATGAGACATTAACCAAATTAATAAATCAGTTGTTACAGCCTTAAACACTGCACATCTAACACTCCACATATGATGTTTTTAAGAAACATGTATTGAGATTAACATCTTTTTTTAATTCATTTTTCATTCATTCATTTATTCAGTTTTTTTATATAGAGCCAAATCACAACAACAGTTCCCTCAAGCTGCCTTATATTGTAAGGTAAAGGCCTTAAAACAATCCAGAGAACACCCCCAAAATCAGACTATACCCTATGAGCAAGTACTTGGTGACAGTGGAAAGAAAAATTCCCTTTCAACATGCCCTATCTGCCTCCCCTCATCCCTGACTGTTGTTGTGATTTGATGGTATATAAATAAAATTGAATTAAGCTGAATCTTGAATGTTTGCTCTGTTTCTGCCTGTCAGGTCAGGGAGGGGTCAGCCCTTCAACAGTGGCTGATGCCATGGTTGATGCAGTGATGGAGTTTGTGGAGAAGAAACAGCCGAGTTTTGTTCAGAGTGTGAGGATCCTGATCTTCCAGACAACCATGTTGACAGAGTTTCACACGAGAATGGAAAAGAGACAAGGAGAGGTGGTGGAGGAGAAGACTGTTGTTGACAAAACTGAAGGTATCACAATGTAATGTTTTTTTCTCTTTTTGACGGAACAAATAAAAAAAAAAAACAGTCCAAACCAAAGGTGGTAAAGCTGCTACATCTTTACCACCTTTTAACATCATGGTTAGTTGATTGGAACTAAAAAGAGAAATTGGTTTAAGACCCAAACTCTTCCACAGCATGCATTTTAAATTTCTCTTTGATATTTGGGCATATTGGGGCCCGATAAATGTAAAAACAAAGAATTACCAGATTGGGTTTTTTTTATACCTGATTTTTGTTTCTAAGAAAAATGAGAGCCACATTTGAGGATATTCGTTTATAAAATTTTGATAGAACAGTAGCAGTATAATGTCCTCGTAACTGGATATCAGGCTGTTGTAGAGCAAAATTAAGTATTTTGGTCAAAATAACCCAAAATGTGATGTCCACATATGTGGACTCCAGGTCCTAAGAGGTTAAAAACTGTAGCAAACAGCTTTATTTTCTTAAAGGTTTCATAAAGCTAACAATGTTAGCCTTTTCTGCAGCTATGGGGCATATATGGTATCACTCTTGGCTGGAAGCAGTGCTTAAACAATGGAAAAAACACAAACTTTGT